TATGTACAGAAGAAAAATGAGAACTAAAGAATAATAATACTGCTTTCCCCCTAGAAATTTCAAGTACTTCTTTCACCTGTTGGCTGAAGTGAGGGGATGTTTATGCAGATCTCAGCCTTTTCAGCCTTAAAAGTTCCTTTGACTGGGGGTGGGGTGCAGCTCACCCAGGCCCAGCCCAGTTCCCTACACCCAGCTTCCAAGAAGTGCCCGCCTCTCAGTTCTTATCAGGATTGGATTTGGGACTCCATGCTAGCCCTTTATTTCAGCTTCAGGTATAGGGAGATGTGGGAGACAGAGCAGAAGTTATGATTTCTTTCCGCATTTCAGTTCTGCTTTCATTTTTGTCTTTATCAGCAAATTCAGGGTGAGGTGATGAGGACTGCTGTGTTGATTATATTATTATTATACTGGATAATCTTCCAGACTCTAGTGTATCCCAGCACCCCCACATTGCCAGTAACTCAAATGGCTTTGTCTCCACCCAGTAACACTCTGGGTCAGGGAAGCTTTCTGTTCTCCCTGCATCCAGACCTGCCAGGGCTCACAGTTCACTTAGGAAGTAAATCAATTCCTCAAGCCTGTCTTGTCTCCACTGTTTGATAGGTCCATACATACATATGACTTTTATATCATCCAGATTTTTCTGGTGTTCCCTTGGGAGATAGGGGCTTCTGTGTTCTAACGAGAAGCATAAAGTGCCTAGGAAGGTAGTTGTTATTTTTAGCATTAGAGGAAGTTCCCTAAATGCAAGATGTCCTGGCCCTGACTCTTAACAGGCAGCCTTGTAGTAATGCTTGTGTTTCATCCAGGGTTGCTGGACGAGAGACCTACCAGGTGGCTTATTTTCAAAGGTTCAGGCTTGAGTTTATAACAAATGCTTTCTGAGCCCTACCTAAATCTCTCCACCTTTACTATATCAAGTGCTTCCAAAAGCCAGCCTCTATGTCTACTTACAGGTTTCTCTCTGCTCCAGAGTCCACTATGCCTGCATCAAGCAAGCTGGAGTGTCAATGGATTAGCATTCCCTGGGAACAGTCCTTAACCAAAGACAGGTGGAAAATGTGGATGAGATAACTTAGAGGCACCTGCTCTACACCATCTCCCAGTTCCCCCAGAGGTAAATCCCAGCTTCCCACAGAGGTACTAACACACGTTCTTTGGCTGCTTTCTCTTCCCTGTCTCAGTTCCCCAGGTCCCCAGAGGCAAGTCCTGGGATCACTTTCCACTTGAATCATTGCTTAGGGTCTTCTTCTGGGCAAAACAATCAAAGGTAGGTTCATTTCAGTGTATTATTTGAAGAAACTCAGCCAGGATTAGATGGACCTTGCCAAGGAACATCAGGCATATTCGAGGATGCCAGGAGAGCTGGATGTTGGGGCTCTTTATTATAAACTGGAGCCATCTGCCGGACTGTCATAACTGGAATATGAAAGTCCTAATCTGGGAGGCAGTTAACTTGTTTACTCTCTATTTGTGGTTATGTCTTTAATGCTTAACAGGCTCTAGATGCGGGATTTAAATTCATAAGCACATTGTTGTACCAAGTTGACATGAAGTTCTTTCAACACAATAAGTGAAATACATTAGTAGGTTGCATCAAGAGCTTGTTGTTTTCCTTTTGTTGATATTTATTATTATTTTTTGTTTTTAAATAATAAAAAAAAACCCTCTAGGACCAAAACCCTGTAAATGTCTTGTGGGGGTGCCAAGAACCACTCTATAAGCCACTTTCTAAGAAGCAATTTCCTTCTTGTCCCATAAAAACTCCCCAAAGCACTTTAGGCGAACACCAAAGAACAGGGTATGTTTGCAAACTGCAAATACAGCAGACATTTAATTACATCGAATTCATCAAAACCCTAATTGAGACAGGAACTCAAACCTTACAGCTTAATTACTTTAATTTCAGATGGGTAACAGACTTGGTCACAAGCAGCCCTTCATGCTGGAACACATTAGGGAGAGGCCCACGGGCACTCGCTGGTAATTCTCCCAGCCAAATGAAAGTGCAGGGCAACATAAATAACTCATGATTGGATTTATTAATCAGTTCAATTCCCAGTATCCACCCTTTGCTGTGACGTTCCACTGTACCAGCTCACCACCTGGCAGGGCTTCTCCACATGTGAGGCTGCTTACATTTCATACTGGTTTTTCTTTTCCTCCACTGGATCAGGCCACACAGAGTAAGGACCAGTCCTCTGAGATACTTCTTCAATTGCCACCTTCTCATTTTGATTTTCATTTCTTCTTCCTGACTGCGCCTTCCTCCCCATGAGGAATCCTGTGGCTGTCCCACTAGTTAGTCAGTAAGTTCTACCCATCGGTTGGTCAAAGTATCTCAGTGACTTAGGGTGGAATTTAGCACCCTAGTGACAATTATTAGTCTGACCCTAGTAACAATTATTAGTCTGACAGCTGATAATGGTGTCTGACTTTTATTGAGCATGTAGTGTGTGGGCCAGGAGTTTTTTAAATACTGAACAAGTTGTGTTTCATCCTTACAGAGATGCTAGGATCTAGGTGTGCATGTACCCACTTTACAGAATGAGAAAACTAAGGTTTAAGAGGTGAAGTAGGGCCTCCCCGGTGGCGCAGCGGTTGAGCGCTGGGTTGCGAAGCTGCCCGCGGCCTCTGCGGCGCCGGTTCGATCCCCGGCTGCTCCCCGGCCACTGGAGGAGGGTCCCACATGGTGTGCAGACCTCTCCTGCCGCCCGCTGCTCCCCTCAGCAGTGTACTTCGGTCCTTCTGCCTGTTCTGCTCCCCGCTCTGGCTCTGGTGAATTCTCTCGCCCTCCCGCGCTTCTGACTGTACCCAGTGCATGTATAAACAAAACAAACAAATAAATAAATAAATAAAAACATGCCTCTATAAAAAAAAAAAAAAAAAAAAAAAAGAGGTGAAGTAACTTCTCCAAGTTTGCCCAGCTAGCAAATGGCAGAGTCAGGATTCAAACCTGGGCCAGTGTGACTCCTGGGCTTGTGCCTTTTCTCAAACATTATTTTGATTCCTTGGTAAAGACTTCAGAGATACTACAAAGTCTTGAAAAAGAGAGCCTTGGAACTCTCCAAGTGCCAAGGTAAGGGAAGTGAGAGGAAGGGTTGACAGAATCACCATGTGGTCTACTTCTAACATCACTGTGGTTGGTATATCTCTCCAAGACCATGCAGGATTGTGAGATGAACTTGGCAAAGACCTTCCAGAAAGGGCAAAGTGATACCAGCACTTGCTAAAGTTACAGAAGCAATTTGTCTTTCACATGGGCCTTCTAACCAAGTTAGTGATTAACTGTATTACCAATAAATTATGAAACACAAATGCATTCAAGCCATTTCATATGCAATTAGTTGCATGGCATTTACGAGACACGTCCCAGTCATTTGTTTCATTTCCTTACGTTATTTCTTCCCTTTGGGCTTGCTTTTGAATCAAGCTGTACGTACAAATGACTAATGAACTAATGACAGCACTACTAACAGCCGGGCTAATAATCATACTGTTAATGGTGACAATGCTAATTAAGAGAGTGCTAACAGCAGCTGGATTTTCTGTGGGATGAGACTACTCATCTCTGAAGGCAGTAGAACACGTCCAACCCAGATGAGAATCGGTGAAGTGCAAATGGCACCAAAGGCAAGATTGGAAACTCATTTTTTTGGGTGCTAACTATATAGGAGATCTTAAAAAAAAAAAAAACACCATATTGTGGGTTCACAAAATCTAAGCCAAGAGCTAATGGACCAAAGGGATGAGAAAAAAGATAAAACATTCAATTGAACAAGTTGGGCCAAATTGCATCGTCATGTATGGAAACAGCTGGCTGGAACGCTACACAGAAAGGGCTGTCTCTGGGCTCTGCAGTTTGTTCTTGCTGAGATCAGGTTTCCCTCTGTCACCCAGAAGCAAGGAACCCTCTAGGCAACCCTGACAAATCAGTCTGCATGAAGAGAATGGAAGCAAAAAATGGACAGTAGAGAGCAGTCCACCCTACCCTGGACTGTAATCTGCCTTAGGGATGGTTAGCATTTGGTGCCCCTGACTGTCTGACAGATGGAAAAGCCTGGAAAAATGCATGGGAGAAGGTTCACAGGAGCTTTCCTTAGCTCTTCAACAAGCTGCTTCTGTGTCCTGAAGAATGAGGGAGCTGGTTGGAATCATCCGGTTCCTTAATATTGCATGTGGAATGCCCTCAACGAGTTTCTAGAAGTTGCTTTTCCTAGAAAATACTCAGAGTTCTGGGTGTTTGGGCAGGAAGCTCAAGCTAGCTTATAGTTGAATAAAATTCTTAAGAGAAACTAGGACATCAGACCTGGCAGGATGGCTGCAGACCCCCAGGTTTCACTGCAGCACCACAGCTAACCAGCAGCCTCACACTTTGGTGACCTTTGGGTGACTTCCTAAGACTTTCCAAAAAAGATACCAGAATTCACAAAAGACACAGATCCCCCAAACCTCCTGGCAGTCTCCATAAATGAAATGCAGGCAGACAAAGCCCTCATGACCAGCCCCCAACTTAAGTTGCCCAAGTGAACATCTAAATAAAAGGCTTGGTCACTGTAGAAAAAGCAAGCCAGGATCCTTAAAGGTGGTAATTGCAAATTGCTTTTAGTTGAAAAAAAAAATCTGGGTCCTTTCCTCTCTTTTTCTCTGTATCTACTGTATTTACATTGAGGCAAAAGCAGACCTTCACTTGCTTTAGGTCATTCCAGTTCAGATCAGTAGTATATCGAAACGAGAGTGACACCTTCAGATTCGCAGCCTGCAACTCTAGGCTGATTTGTTACTGCGTGGAGCTGGGCACTCCATATTCCACTGTGGAGACCAAATAATGGTGCCTGACAGTTTCCAGGTCCAGTTAGGCCATCCTCTTGGGGTGTGAGACTCCACATTGCTGTGGCCCAAACCCACTGGCCCCCGGATGACTGTGTTCCTGCAACACAGACCTTGTCTGACCACCATGCTCCTCCTGCTCAGGTACTCCGTGTGACCAGCAGTCTTACCTGCCCTGCGAAGAGCCCACAGACACCAATGATGCACAGAATATTGAACACTGCCGAGCCCACGATGGTCCCAACTCCCACGTCACCCTTGGTGATGAAGACGCCTGAAACAGAGACCAACTGTCAGCCTGGCTCATGGGGCTGGTTGCCTTCTAAAGCTGGCAAAGTTCACAAGGGTTACTTAGACTGCTCTGGGCATCTATAATAGCTGAGGATTGGGCAGAAGCTTCTAGTCTTCATCAGGGACACTGTCTCATGGTGTCCCTGGAATGGACACTGGTGCCCCATGGAATCAGCACTGATTCTGGGACACATACATGCAAAGCAAGAGCATCACTTGAATAAAATTGTAATAGCAACCATGGATAGTGAAGTGGGAGGCTGATGTTTGCTCCTCAGGGCCCAGGATTCTCTTCTGTGGTTAGACAACCCGCAGGAAGGTCATCTGTCCCCAGAACCCTTGTCCCTCAGAGACATTCCAGGCTGCCACTTACCTATGACTGATGTGAACAGCTCTGGGGCTGAACTGCCCGCTGCCATGAATGTGGCCCCGGCCACATCTTCACTGAGGTGCAGGCGCTACAAAGGGGCAAGGACAAAACATAGGTAAGTCGGGATTCCTCCTGGGAAGAGAGGGGGATGCTACTACCGAGGGCCCAAGCTCAGGGGCCTCCTCCTTCTGCCCACCCCTACCCCTGCTGGGCCAAAGCTCCTTTCATACCTCCTGAGGAGTAGAGTAGAGGGGGCTGCCAGTCATTGTGATTTAAAGAGTTGTGACAAGATCCAGGGGTTGCCAATGTCATGGCGGCCATATATACAATAGGAAGGAGTGGAGTGGGCAGATGCGAGGCCCAGTGGGTAGTCACCTCCTTCCTAAAGGCGGTGTCACCTATGTCCCTCCATTTTGCCGAATATTTTTATTTTTATTTTTTAAACATTTATTATTTATTTATGCATACAAGAACTGGGGTCTAGGCCAGAGGTGTGGGGGTGAGAGGATTCACCAGAGACAAAGTGGGGAGCAGAACAGGCGGATCTACTGAAATGAGGGCGAGACAGGAGAGGTCTGCTGTGCCATGTGGGTCAGCTCCCTGGCTGGGGATGGAACTCATGCCTCAGTGGCTGGTGACAACTTGATAGTGCTGAGACTTAACCCCTGCACCACCAGGGAGGCCCTCTTTTTATTTCCAAAGAAGTCAAAATTCACATTTTTAATATCCAGATTTTTGTTCAATACTAGTCAATCAGACTGAGTCGAGGTCATGGTAACCAGTTTTTGAGCCTTGATTCCAGAAGGTTAGGAAGAATTTGGGGGTGGGGACATCACTCTCCTGGAGTTCAGTTGAAACCCTGGAGTGGGGTAAAGGGGGTTGAACCTGAGTAGAAGGTGATGGTGAGCCCTGCCACGTGAGTCTACACAACCAGTTGCCCTGTTTGTTAATCCAAAAGGTGATTTGCAAGAAGAAAAGATAATTCACACATTCTAACATGTGATGAATATTTAGCTTTTCTGCATTTACTCATGTTCCAAAAAATAAGGGGCTGGCTGTCAGTAAATAGCCAATTTCCAGCTGGTGTCCCAGCTGAGATGCTCTTGGGTGACACTGTCCCTCTTCCCACTAGCACAGGTTGCTGCACTTCCCTGCTCAGCCATGGAGGGGCAGCATGAGCTCGGCATAGCAGCTGGCTCCACGGGACCTACAGTAGGCTGCAGCGGAGCCCTAATCAGGTCTTTTGATCTGGAGTTCTGGGTTCCGTTGTTCTCAACTGAAAAGTCAAACTCCACACAGTGTGTGGAGAAGGTGCTAAGATGGCGGTGCTGATACCTCAAGTTGAAAGGTGCAGCTATCAGTGGCACACCAGCATCCAGTCTCGGGGGGGGGGGGGCAGGTAATCCAGGGGAAGGTGACTGAATACAGAGCTCATGCTCCTTGGTTTGCCAAGGCTGGCCATGAGCCCCCAGCCTCGCACCACACTATGTCATCTCCAGTTTGGACTTTCCTATGGGCAGATGTGGAATCCACATTGAAGGCTCATCTCTTGTTCTCACCTTCATCCACTCAGTTAGCCCCTTTCTCTATTTCCTTAAGTCCTTTTTTTCTTTCACCCCAAATTAACTCTGACCCTGGCCACATCTCATTGGATGCTTAAAATCTCTCAGTGGATGCTTAGAATCACCAGCTAGGGAGTCTTCCTGCCTCTGGCTTCTTCCTATCTGCCAGAACACGGTTGTAAGAAGCCCTCCCAGCTCGCTCCTGAGCATTAACTCCTGACACCCCAGCCTGGCATCTCCAGGGCACCCTGCAAGCTGATTCCAGTCCCAGTTCTGTGTCTTGGCTCTATAGCTCTGACTCTTCTCTGCAGAAATATTCTTCCTTGAAATGTGTTGCTATGAGACCTTCTTTCCAAGGTCTGGGCCAATCTGGCCCCTGCATGAGCCCTTCCCAGATTTCCTTGTAGAATCCTCTTCCCCTTCCCAGCTTCGAGGCTCTTTACCCATGCTCAGTATTTACAGAGAGTGGGATGGACAGTGTCCTGTGCTCCAGCAGCATGTTAATCTATTGCTCATAATGTCCCGCTGCTGCCATGGAAACCTCTGAAGGCCTCCATACAACTTCATTCTTTCTATGCAAGCCCATGCTCAAGACCAGGTGGTCCCCTGGCTTTTTTTTTCATGTTCTTGAAATGGCCTCTCCTTGCTTTGTCTCAACCTAGCTGTGTCAGTCTGCTCAGGTCAGCTCACAGGATTTCTCAGCACCTCAGGGCACCTTTGTCCCACATCTTGCAATGAAGCCTTCAGGCTGCTCCAAGTCTAGGGACTGTCACTTCACACAAAGGAAACCAAGGTCCAGGCAGGTGAAGGGCTGACACAGGGCCCATAACGACAGACATGATGCCCGACCGGGCTGCTGACTTGCTCGCCATATTTCCTTTTGCCCTCTCCTCTCCTTCAATTACCTGTTCTTGGCCTCTCCTCTCCCACTACCTTTTTTTTTCCTGGTTTCAAATTTTAAGGTATTTGAAACTGAGAACTTCCCTCCCTAGGCTATGATTTATTGAACAATCCGGATTTCCCTCGCAAGCCATCTTTCACGAAAGTTGGAAACAGCACCCACTGGGTTCTCGGTCCACCCCCAGCTTTAGTCTACCAGCAACCTGAGATATGCGACATCAAATTGCTAGTGGGGGAATGAAGGAGCAGGGAGGAGCTGCGCCGTAGACAAGGAGCCCCTCAGCCAACATGGGTGTCAGCGTGACCCTCTAATCTTGTGGGAAAGTGAAACTCCAAAGAGAATGGGTCGCACATGTCTTAGGAGATGTAAACATATGGGGTCTCCAAATATATGTCAACTTGATCTTCACACATCCCCTCCCCCAACCATTCAGACACAGTTCCTCTGCAGTCAAGGCCACTAGAGGAACAAGGAGCTGCACCATCTTTACGGGATGCCTTCTCTTGTCCCATTGACCTTGCACATAAGATTTGACTGCGGGGATGGAGCAGGGAGAACTCAGGAGATATGTGGCCCTTCTGCTGTGCCCACCATTCCACTAGGACTGTGAGGCCCCAGGAGGGGAAGGTTCTAACACAACCAGGCCCCTGTCCAAGCTGGTCCTTGCGCAGAGGAGAGACTGAGGGCTCAGGCATTTGTGGGTTCAAATTATGACTCCACCCCTGCCTGGCTGTGTGACCTAGACAGGTGCTCTACTTTCCTGAGGCCCACTCTCCGTACACAAAAAGAGGAAATGATATCAGTTATCTGGTAGAGTTCTTGGGGCAATTAAAGAGCTATTTGGGCATATTCACATCACACTCGGTCAACTGAGCCAAGTTCTGGTACATTAGGGACCCAATAAAAGTAACATTTCCTCCAGTAGGCACTTTTTTTCCTTTTACCTTTTCTTCCCTTCTCCCCCACCCCAGCCCACACCACCTTTTACAACAAAGACTCAGAGAATCCTGCAGGGGAGGAGGAGGGAGAGGGATCACAGGTAGGGAGGGAGGGGCACAGGGGACTGGGGTGATGGTGCACGGGTGCCTTGGTGAAGGAAACTCTGGGGACTACACCTGAGGGGTTGGGGGAAGCAAATATTGTTTAAAAATGAACAGTGATGTCAAAAATAAAAAAAAAAATAACAAAAAAACAAAAACAAAGACTCGCCAAGCCCCTTTTCTGATATTTTTCCTGTTCTCTAGTTCTTCTTACAATGGGGTGGGCTCAATTGAGGAAAATCTCAATTGAGTTAAGCACATTTTGATAATTGTATGTACATTTCTAGAACAATCTTCACTTAGCTATTTCAAAAAAGCTGTGTGGGAAAGAAAGAGTAGTTTTCTTTGCACAAAGAATGAGCCACCACGTGGTGGTATTTCAGAGGTCACAATAACCCCCATGTAGGCGTTCCAGGCTTCTTTGACTTCCTCACCAGGTACCCTGTCCTCAGGGTGAATCACTTTGGACAAGGGGCTTGTACTCACATGCACACTGTTCCCCTCACAATCACCTCACTCACTTTCCTTCTCCTACTGCCTCTTTATGGTTATTATGAAATGGTTCTCTTTTATTTTTATTAACTACAAAAATACCTAGCAGACTTCTAGGATGTAGAAGAAACTGCTTAAATCGGTGGTTTTCAAACTGAGGTTTTCAGCCCCAAAGCTTCAGCATCACCTGGGAACTTATTAAAAATGCAACTGCCATTCCGGGCTGCTCCCCAAGACCTAGTGAACTAGACCCCTGGGGGTGGGGCGGTGTTGCAGGGGGAGGAGGGAAGGGAAGACAAAATTTGAGAGCTGTGTAAAGAAACTTGAGTTCCAGATGGAAGGTGTGTCTGGAAGAGATCCCTTCTGCAAACGAGGTACTGAATTAAAAATAAAATAAAATGGAAAGCTTCCAGATAAAGGAAACTACATTTCAAAACAGACAAAGAGATGAAAGAGGCATGAGAATGAAAGAGTTGTAGATATGCTGAATATTTCTGATGAAAGGGATTGAACTTGGTATTCAGCCTGGTGTTCTGTAGGCTGCTTTCTAACAGAGTCCCTTTCCTGGTCTCTGTGGCCAGTTCTTTCATCTTGCCTTTCAGGCCTCTGTTGGGAACATTTCTGTACATGGACAGAGAGGAAAGATGACGGGGTGTGTGGCTGAAGGCTCCTTCCTCACTCTGCGTGGACCGAAGGAGGTTTACAGGTGCAGAAGGAAACAGAGGAGGGAAAATGGAATATGTAAAAGGAAGAACGCAGAATTCAAAAGAAAAAAATGGAAAGCAGGACATAACTAGTGCCATGAGTTAAGCCTAGTGTGGCAGGCAGAGTTGGCAGTGTGGGCTAAAGCTGACTATGAATTGGCATCCTGAAGTTCTAAGCAGACTGACGGGACTCTTGTGCTGATATTACCCATCACCACGAAGCATGCTGACATCTGGCGTTTCCACCCTGTGTCGCATGGAGGGCTCCCCAGACCTTGGCAGAGGAGGCAAAAGAGCCAAGGTCCAGCTCAGATACAGAGAATACGAGGCACATACCTCACAGATCTTTTCCAAGGAGGGGACGAAGAAGTCATCACATACAATGGCCAGTGCGTAGAACATGTACATGGCCTGGAAGAGAGGAGAGGAGAACGGGTTAAAGCCAGACTCAGGGCAGAGCCTTGGGGTGAGGCTGCATCACCCTCTGCCTCAGTAACATCCTCTGTCTTCACGGATTCAGCATCTCACACAGAGGAAGTGCCAAATCTGTCATGCCTGGAAGGACCTACATGACCTCATTTGTCCTCTGTGACTTCCACTCTCCCCCTTGTCTACCTTCTTGTTCTCCAAATGTGCCATAGATGCCTGCCTGAGGGCTTTTGTACCTGCTGTTCCCTCTGCTCAGAACACGCTTCTTCCAAATTGTCTTGGCTCACTCTATCATATCCTTCAGGTTCCTGGTTCAATGTCAACATAAACAAGAGGCCTTGGACTGCCCTTCCTCCCACTTGTCTTATCATCTTTATCTTGTTTTGGTTTCTTGATGTGTTATATTTAAATTAGTTTGTTGTCTATCTCTCCCACTGGATGTCCAGGACAATATGATTTTTATCTATCTCATTTATTCCCAACACTGAACACAGGACCTGGTGCATAGCAGGTGCTCAATAAATATTTGCAACAAAGGAATACTTCAAACTGTTTATTCTCCCATGCCTCATTCTTGCTTCCTGGTCAGCAATGTCCAAATAATTTCTTGCAATTTTACTTTGTGCTCATAGATCACTTTCCCATCTTATCCAATTCCATGTTTCCACTCTAACAGAATTTTATTTGAAAGCCATTGCTGATTGGCCATCCAGAAAGCATCCTCCATGTCTTCCTAATGGGACCCCACTTTCATTCAAATATCTATCACTCCCCATGTATAAGATGACCATACCCTTTCCTCCAGGAGTACATATTTGTTGGCCATCAATAGGCAGTATTCCCTCAGAGATGGCTTTTGGTTCAGGGTAAGCCCATGACCTAGCCTGGCCCCCTCAAATGGCAAGAAAAGCTTTGTAGTCCCTGCCAGAGGGAGCCATTTCCCTCCTGGTGCTGGCTGAGGACAGGGAAGCTGGAGGCGCTGACTGTCATTGGCAGCAATATTGAGGGAACTCTGAGATGCAGTTGGCCCTGAGTCTACATAGTGACCTCACTGAATCATTGATCATGTGGTGCTAGAGCCCACCCTGCCTCTGGACTTAAGACCATAGCATACTGGCAAACAGGCCAACTGGATTTGGAGTTTCCCTGTTACTTGCAGCCCAAAGCTTCTAATGGTACACCCATGAAGTTGCTCCTCCTATAAGTTCCAGTATCCTCAGAGTAACATTGCTTTCAAATTTTGAACTTCCCATAGTTTTTCTTTTGGACACCGCTCTACCAGAGGGGCCTTCATTCTCACGGCCCCTACCTCTCTCACCCAGGGAGCAGGTACATGCCCTGCGTGAGCCACCAGAAAGAACACTGGTGTGTGGGCAAAAGGCATGTAACAGGCCACATAGGGAGTAACAGAGTAGCAGAGAAGATGGAGGAAGGGCTCTCCTTATGAGATATAAATGCCATCTAAGTCTGGAGCTGCTGGAGGTAGCTGCCATATAGGGAGAGTTTGCCTGAGAACGAGTCCACAAAGTAACAGGCTGAAACCCCCCCCACCCCCCCAGACACCATGTGAACTCTGGATCCAGCTCAATCTGAAGCCAAAGTGGATTTTCCAATTTCATGAACTGATAATATTCCTTTTACACTAAAGTTGATTTCTGTCACTTGCAACTGTCCTTCCTGAAGCCTGTAATCACCCAAGCATGAAATGAGCTCCCTGGCCCTTGACTCCTGGCTGTTGCACTGATTCAGCTGCTCCTCTACCCTCATCAGCTTGTTTTCTTTTTCACATGTGTGTGTTTGGGCTCTTCAACCAGATTGAAAGATTCCAAAGTGCATCTTAACACTTGATTCTGTGGAAATATCAGATATGTGCACAAAAAACAACATGTGCACCAGGGATATTTATTCCAAAATGATGATTACAATAAATTATCAAAACCTAACAAATGCACTATAGGGGATGAGTTACATAAACTATGATTCATCATTCAAGGAAATACCTTAGAAGGGATTATGTAAATGCATATTTTGTGATAAGGAAAGGTATTTGCAACACATTACTAACAGAAAAATGTTAGAAAATGGTGTGCACAATCTCTTTTTTAAACAACTTATGTATATGAGTATATACACACACACACTTATATAAGTGTATCTACATATAAGAGTTTGTAAGGCCATAAATCAAAATAATTTCTCCCATGGTTGGTGTGACACTGGGTGTATTTCACAATTTCTATCCATATTTTCTGGTTTTTCCATCTTAAATTTCTATTACTTCTGTAGTCTTCGGGGGTCTTGAGAGATTTTAGAGGTGAGGACTCTGTCTTAATGTTAATCTCCGAGGAGTCTGCGATGCTTAGCATGCAGAGAAAGCAATAAAAATAACTTTTTATTGATTGGTCTATTCATAAGCTACACAAAATTATTTGCCTGTGAGACTTATTTTTGGGAAAATGTAAATTAAAAAAAAAAGTTTAATGCTCTGCTTTACAGCTTTGTGGATGAGTCAGAATGTACATTCCCAAGTTGCTATGGATTCAAACCCTCTCTGCCCTATGACTGAGCTCATCAGTGACATGCAGACTTTAACATTATCTTTGAAAGGACTTGCAAATGCAGCAATTGGAATTACTGTTACACCTCTGTGGATTCTCCACGATCTCAGTAAGATGTCCAGAGCTGACATACCCAACTTACTGAAACAGCCAACGACATTTAGAAGTCTCTAAAACATCTTTCTAAAAATACATTCCAATATTACATATTGATCCTGTTTCAAGGCAAGAAACTCCATCTAACACATTGCAATATCAATGTTTGGAATGGGATGAGAAATGAATAGATCTGCGAGGCTTTTGTACTTTCAAGGGTGATGGCTATTTAAAGTCATATTAGTTCCTTTGCACAAAGAGTATGGTGGGGCCACCCACCCTCAATCAGTTATCTGTGGCAAGGCACCACTGGAAACCAGAGGTTCCTTTCTGGCTGCAGCGTGCCTCCTGGCATCTGAGGGTGGACCTGCCACTTTACCTGCTAGACATTCATTCTAACTTTCTGTGGTGTTACCCACTGGAAATCAGGTTCCCACTGGGAAAACAAACAAAACAGAACAAGATATCGACTTGGGAGTTGTCAGGGACAGGAGAGGATGTGCATGTGGAGTAATGGGAAAGGAAACTGTACCTTCTGCTCAATTTTGTTGTGAATCTAAGATACTCTAAAGAAGGTTTACTGCTACTTATAAGAAAACCCACAAAACCAAAACAGAACAAAAGAACACAACAAAACAAATGTATAAAGTCAAATACTAAGATGCAGAAAGCCTACCGGAAGTGTGATGATGGTAATTTTGATACAACTTGTCCAAATAATTACAGAGTAAGGCATGTGGGGATCTGTTTGATTATTCCTATGGTTCCAAAGGATGTAATATTATCATTGATCATGATGACACTAGTACTATTACCATTAATACTTTGCCACTACTTAGACCAATAACTCAAGCAAGTTCCAGATACTTTAAAAGGACTATCTTAATTTTTCTAATTCCTGTGGGAGGCAAGGAATTATTGGCCCATTTCTCAGAAGATATAATAACTTATCCAAGGCTGCGTGGTTAGCAAATGGCAGGGATTGGATTTGATCCTCCAACTCTCTCCCAGTCTCCCATAGAGTCCAGCTGCTTCTCCATTCAGAGGTCATTTCTGATTCCCTGCTGCACCCCCATTTCTCTATTTTCAGCTCTCCTACCAATAACATGTCTTCTCCAACCACAGAGAGATAACAACAGATTCAGAATCCCAGTCACCCACCCATGCAGTCTGCCTATATGAGCCACTGATATCCCCTGCCTCTAAAAGCCATTTCCATTTAACTAATTATATGTTTCATTTAACTTATTTAAAATTTTTTTATTTTAATTACATACTCACATATGAATATAGCATTTACAAAAGTGAATAAATGTGATCAGTGTGAACACGAGTAAAAACTAGCTACCTTTCCTTATTTTTTAGTTAATTCTTGTTTTCCCCTATAAATGAATGGACTGTAAACACTGCTGCAATGAAAATCTTTATTTTTTTAAAAGACACATTTATTCAGTGTCATGATCAGACTATTACATTTAGCAATCAATAGCATGGGTGCAAAAAAAAAACTACATTAAAATTCTTTGTTGGAATGCTTTTACACTTGCCACAGAACAGAAACTAAAATAATCTGTTATACAATTAGTCACAAATACAGTCCTTAAGTTTTTTACCCATTCACACAAGTATTGTCTAAAATATGTCTTCTTTGGAGCAGCGAAGCCCTGCCACCTCTGTGCTTGGCTTAGGTCACAGATCTGTTGTAACCTGTAGCTCCCCTGTCACTTCTCTCCTCTCTGCTAAGCTTTGTTTCTTGCAGTTGATAAAACCTTCTGCCATTGTCATTGTCACTGTTGTTTCTGGAGTCATCCTGGTTTCGTGGTTTGGTGAAGTATTGGCTTCTGCCACCATAGGCCACGCTTCTGCCTCCAAAATTTCCACCTTTCATGAGCCCAAAATTTGAAGATTGTTGTAATTGCCAAAATCATTGTAGCTTGCCACTCCTGCCACAGCCACTACCCTGGGTTCCATAACCCTGTCTACTATTTTGATGGCCTCTGCTTCTTCCAGACTAACCAAGACTCTTCCATAAGCACCACCGCTACCAAATCCACTACAGCCATCCTCACTGCCACCATATCCGCCACCTGCACCACTACGGCTGTCACCAAGGTCACCTTGACCACTGAAGTTTCCTCCACAACCAAAGTGGTCATTCCCAACAAAACCACCTCCATGACCACCACCAAAGCTTCCAGAACCACTTTGACCTCTTTGGCTGAGTGAAGCACTGGCCACCTCCGGCTTAGACAGGGCTTTCCTTACTTCACAGTTGTGGCCATTGACAGTATGGCATTTCTTTTTTTTTTTTTATATAAATTCTTTTTT